ATAGTAGAAATTACTATACACCGATACTTATATGACAGTAGAATAAAATTGAGGAAATAACATGACACATAGTAATGGAAATTTGATTGAATGAAACTGGGAAATTCTCGCTATACGCCAATTATGACAGCAATTATGTTTGCGATATGCAAAACATTAATTTAAGCATTTAATGAAAGCATTAATTTATTTATACTATTACTTAGCTAGATAAAAATTTCTCAATTAATATGCCATTTTCTAATATTGAATCAAGTTAAATTTTTAACAAATTGCGAGATGATACCTGCTACCTTATGCAAAAATGTGGAAAGTGATTGGTTTATAAGAGATTTCCAGTTCTCTTAGAATGTCCTTGAAAGATACTGTAACTGATATATCTTTAAAATAATATAAAATGATTCATTTGCTTTATCAAATTCTTAAAAATTTTCTATCATAAACATTTGCATAGCAATGTCATTAAAAACAAATGTATTGAGCGAACAAAAAGGTGCGGAAGGAGCTAAATTAGATAATGAGTAAAAACTGTAAATGGCCGTTTTCGGTGAGTAAAGCAATCGAAAGAATGGGTTCACGTTGAAAGGTTTTTTCTCAACCAAGAAGCTCTCCTTCCAAACTTTTCGCGACTATCGACAGCGATATCGGCTTCTCGCTTCATCGTAATTCGCCGGTTGGCGCGGCTTTCGCGCTTGATTCGTGCTCGTGCCGGAGTAAAACGCAAAGTTATTCGGGTGCCTTGCCAAATAGGCGATCTAAATGCGCTCAACCGACCAGAAGTGGTAATACGTTACCAGTTATTGCCGGCGGCAGCATCTTGCCGAGGGTCTCTCGTCTCCTTCATCCAGCTCTTTCTCGCCACGAGTGTTCTCTATATAAGAGAGAGAGAGAGGAGAGAGAGAGAGAGAGAGAGAGGAGGAAGAGGGAAAAGATTGCAGGAAAGAGGGACCAAGGGAAGGATTCATGTTAAAGGGTAAATATGTGCTCCGAGCTTCCAGCACGTCCCACCAAATCGGCGTACCGATCTCCCCACGCTTTGCAAATACATATATGCGTATGAGTATATATATGTGAAATTAACCGCGAGATCGTTCCCGTATGCGCTGGCCAACAACGAATTTTCCACCCTCTCGGACGATTTTCTTCGATAAATCTTGGAAAAAGTCGAGAGTTCCACTCGTAGCCAGGGTCGATAGGAGATGGCAGTAAAGATAAATCAAAGGCGTTCACTGCTTGTTGTTTACTTCGATACCTATTCGTTTTGTGTGTTTCACTGTACGTTAAACAATGGACATTTTTATTGGCTATATCATTCCATTTTTCGAGTAACTCAGTGTAACGATATTAAATATACTTTTAGATAATATAATTGAGAATAAATTAATTTTTTAATTAGGTTTTCAGTCGAATTAGTTGTTAAAAAGGTCGGCACGATTTTAAAACAAGAAAGATACTAGACTCCAAAATTACACGGAGAAATGTATGCTAAGTGTATTATCGTTATACGCTTGCTCAGGTATTCTATGCATAATCATTCGAAGCAAATATACTTGCCGACGAGACAAAGGATAGCGCGACACAATTATTTAAGCAACGCGATTCCACACGGATTAGCGTCGTGCAGTTTTAGTCACGCTGGACGAAGATTTATCAGTCAGGGATTATCGTGGTTAGGGAAAATTCGATGGCACTCTGGCTTAGGGTCAGTCCCAACTGACCTGGCAAAGTTCAAAAGCGCTAGAATCATCACAAATTTTAAGGTTTATTAACACTCTCGATAAATAAATCCTCGCCATTCTAGAACGGTATCGATGAATGATTTGTGAACGTTGCAGCTTCGTAGGCCAAGTCACGTTGAGAACGTGGAGAAACGCTCGTCCTTCCGTTTTCTCTCTCTCTCTCTCTCTCTCCCTTCCTCTCACTATCTCGCTCACTCTTATAGAGAGGATCGAGAGGACACAGGCGATCTCTCCCGTTTAACAATCCAATAAATCATCCACGGCTTTATCGCGAGAGGTAGATATATACTGGTGAGAATATACTCTGTGCATAGGTGCAAAAGAGAGAGAGAAAGAGAGAGAGAGAGAAAGAGATGTGGAGATAGACGAGTGGAAAAGAGAAAGAAGGAGATAGAGTAAAAGCGAGCGAGCGAGTGAGACAGAAAAAGAGAGAGAGAGAGAGAGAAAGAGAGAGAGAGAGAGAAAGAGAGATGGAAAAGGTAGAGAAAGCGAATCATCGATCGGTAGCCTCCTGTCTTCGTTGGCTCGATTCGACGGAGCGTGCACTTGCGCCCGTATTCATATTCATATTTCAAAACTCGCATCCACGGCCCATTGTGCCGTTGAATGCGCTATGCAGAATGCGTCGTCTGCCGTATAACGTTGCACCACAGCAACCGCCTGCCTTCTGAATTAGTAATAGCGCGCTGACAACGGCCACCGTGCCGTTTGCTCGGTCCTGCTACTAGGCGCAGGATCAGCGCGTTGGCGGAATCCGTAGCTACCCTTCCGTAGAGAGAAACGCAATTTGCTTCAGATATTAATTCGAATAATGGATTGCTCGTTAACTCGAGAAAGACACGTGGTGTTTGTTTCCTCTCTTTCTCTCTCTCTCTCTCTCTCTCTCTCTCTCTCTTTTTCTCTCTATCTTTACCTCTCTGTCTTTAACTTTACTCTTTACTTCTCTTTTTACCTCTCTCTTTACTTCTCTTTTTACCTCTCTCTTTTCCTCTCTTTCTCACGCTCATTCTCTCTTTCTCTCTTTCTCTCTCTATCTTTACCTCTCTGTCTTTAACTTCATTCTTTACTTCTCTTTTTACCTCTTTCTTTACTTCTCTTTTTACCTCTCTCTTTTCCTCTCTTTCTCACTCTCATTCTCTCTCTCTCTCTCTCTCTCTCTCTCTTTCTTTCTTTCTCCCACTTTCTCTCATTCATTCTCTACGGGAAAGATTTACTCTTCAAAAAGTTTTATTGTAAATCTTGTTTTTTTGTCTTTTTTCTTTTTCTCTTTCTTTTTCTTTTTTCCTTTTTTATTTCTCAATTCAGTTATTGAAAGATTTGTCTCATTTGGCTTATCTTTAAAAAACGAAAATTGAAATCGAAATTACGTGAACGATTCTATGTAGGTTAGAAATATCTACGCTAGGCGAATGCTTTGTGATCGAGAAAGGCACCAATCCAGTGTTTCGGACGAGTCAAAGGGAAAGAGCGGGAAAACCTCATATAGGTTAGGTACGTACATACATATGTATCTACCTACGGATGACTGGAATTGCTACGTTTAATCACATTTTGGTAGCTCCTAAAAGGAAATGTCCGTAGCTTTGATGCCAGAAACACCCTTTAGAGATCTTACATTTAAATGTTCTCTTTTCGTACTGCGTTATACTTTATCCGGTTCTTTCAAATTCACCAAAGACCTATCTCTCCTTGCAACATTTCTTTCGACGAATATAATACCAGTTGAAGCGTAAACCTTTCTAAAATATTAAAGTAAAATTATACCACATCGTATCTCGCATCGTATGCATATCTGCATACAGTATATTATGTTATATATATATATATATATATATATATATATATATATATATATATATTCACAGACGATGCACTTAGCAAATATTCGCGAGAAAAATGTCGTAAATTAAAAAATAACATAGATGTAATGCGAAATATGGTGTAGTTGCAAACTCATAGTCCTCCGGATATTCCAACGGAAATCTAATACAAGCTGAAGAGCAGAGAGTAGAGAATATATACGATGGTGCTAACGAGACTCCGAGGATCGAATCAAGACCGAATCTCCGCCGCTGATTGACCAGGGTGGATCATTCGAGCTGCGGAAGGCTAATTAGCTACCCGGATCTCGGTACGTGACCCGACAACGGGATCCCGAGACGTAGCGATTATGGTTACCCTCAACGCCTTAATTCGACCTCCGAAAGGAAGATAGAAACGAAAGGATAGACGGAGAGATATAGATAGAGAGATAGAAAGAGAGGAAACTGTGTCATGAAATTTCGCTTTGAGTTCTTCGATCTGATTTTCATTGAAATCGCGTAATACCATTTAATATGGTCGACGACGATTAAGTTTGTTATGACGAACTCGACTATTTTGATCGAATAAATGCATTCGGAGAAAAGACAATACAAAAATAAAATCATAGACACGAACAAGTAACGAAGTAAACTAATAAAAGCAATTTTAAACGTTACATGCACATGTGTTAGTGAAAGCAAATGACAATAAAGAGAAAGAAAGAGAAGAAAAACGACGAAAAAACCAAAAACAAAAAAAAGCAAAAAAATGAAAGAAAGAAAATCAATTTGATTCGGTACAGCCAGGGTATTACACAATACGATAAACAAAGCTAGCCGGGTAGATTGGAGACCGTCGGTGAAGCGCGAGCCAGGCCGAACGCGAAACGCTTAATTAACCCATTTATCATCGTGCGAATGAGACTAGGACGACCACGAAATAAGTCTGCCCAATGAAACCCGATGTACCTACACACGTATGCACGTTTAACGTATTTGCAATCGTAACATACGGTACGGTGATATACGCGAAATATATTGTGTATACGCGTAAACTTGTACGTGGATACACGTTACATACGTGTAGATATCTATATACGTATTCGCGTAGATTACTATAAATGCACGCATATGTACGCGCGGTTAGTTTCGTACGACGCGAACGGAAGTGGCATAATTACATAAGCGCGAACCCAGCGAATTTGAGTAGATGCGTGCGATTCGTTTCAATCCAATTCAACCGGTTAAAATATAATGCCGACTATTATCTTGATGTGGACTCTATACGCAAATACAAACTACGCTAAGGTTATATAAAGAGGAAGAAAGATATATAGCTGAATAGAGAGAGAGAGAGAGAGAGAGAGAGAGAGAGAAGGGAGGTGGGGAACGAGACGAAAATGGATCTAGTAGGTACATCCGCACGATGCTGACGATCTAGTATTCTCTTTCTCTCGGTGAAGTTCGAGGGTAATTAGATGGTTCTCGCTCCATCGTCAATTCGAGCTATCAAGGTAGTGTTAGATGAACGGGTACACGTACAGGCATATACAGGTATATCCTCACAACGTCTTGATAATTAATGCCGTTGCAGTCAAATTGTGTTCACATTATTCACTGTCCCCTTCTCATTCCTTTTTCCCCCACCATTTCGTCCGCTTGTCTCCAAATACTGTCTCCCATTGTCTCTGTATCCACGACGATTAACTTAATCTTCTTCCCCTTATTCCTTTGGTGAAAGTAATAGCACGGTGTTATCTATCAGCAAGAGATTTCGCTTTAAAGAATTTTATCTCATTTGAATATATCAGATTTCCAAGTAAGTAACTACATAAAAACATAATATAATTTTTATCAAACTTTATTAAATTTGAAGAATTAATACTATTTGTTTTTTTTCCTCTTTTATTCTTTAGAAATTAGAACTTTCGATGGTTTGATCGAGAAAACGACAGCAAAGTTTTAGGAACGATTTCATAGTCGGTTGGTTCGACGAAATGAAAGTGAAAGAGAACGAGCGAACTAGTGAGAGTGTGTACATGTAAGAGAGGAAGAAAGAGAGAAAGAGAGAGAGAGAGAGAGAGAGGTGTGGTGATGACGCCCTCGGTATCTACAGGGTGCACTTTAGCCCCGGTCGATTTAACGAAATAATTCGATCGGTCTGACGAGCACTCGTCAGAGTTTGTGATTTTTTCTCTTTATTCTGTAGGTGCAATGTTTCGAGTTTAAGCGGAATCCTTCTCGGTGTCGGAATCCAGACAATCAATTGCAAACGGCAATGCATACGGTGTGCTGTATCGAAATGCAACCGCCGAAACACGATGTATCCTACATTATTACGGATCGACGAATTTGCACCCTATACGTTCAGCGTAATCAATTCCAATTCCCTAGTCGGTCCAACGTGACGGCAGCGAAATAATTTACGGATAATGAGGACGCTACGTGGTGCCCGAACGACCTGCCTGTCTGCCTGCCTACCTGCCTGCCTGCCTGCCTGCCTGCCTGACTCTACTGTACTGAGCGTCCTACGATGGACGGGTGATACGCAGTTAATCAACTGGATGGACATGCCGGGACGTGATCAATCCCGCAACCCACTGAAAAATTATCAACTACCGTGTTCTGCCTTCAAAAGAAGAACGTCGTCCGATTTTTATTCTATTCACGATCAAGTCATTATATATATCCGCAAAGAATGCGAATTATCTCATAGTACTTTTTGCAAAAATGAAAAAGGCAAGACGAAATAAAAAAAAATAATCAAGTAGAGTATTAAAAAACGTTTCTCGTTTTTGCTGGTAAAAAATTCTCAAAAGAAAATTTGGAACGCACAACAAATATATATGATATCGAAACGAGAAAGATCTGAGAAGAATTTTTGTATGTTCAAAATCTAGTATGAATATGTCTATTATGATAAAAAATGATGTTAATAGACATGTCAAGACATTATTTCTGGATTCTTAGATACGTACAATCTATGCATATAAGAGAAATCGTAACTAATATGGATCTAATAAATATCTTTCATTATAGCATCAATTAGTAAGCAACAGGCAACATCAATATTTTGAAACAATTTAATTTAACGTCGTTAGAAATCTATCGAATGTATTTAATTGCATGAGGAACAGTTGGTATAAGATAATGCAATAACTAAAAGTACCTTCATCTGAGAAGTAACTATACATTTTCAACACCCTTCTAAAGTCACTCTGTATATATATATATATATATATATATATATATATATATATATATATATACATATAAAGGCCACGACGAAGGAAGCGAGGGAATCTTATTAGAAACTCCTACCAGCTTAGTATCGATTCCGCATCAATTTGCATTGTTCAGGACGATCCGAGAGAAACTATTCAGCGCTTGGTCGCCACTAGTGCTTTGGGAAGGAACGCGCCATCACCTTCTAGCGATGAAGAGAGGGTGAGGTTTCGAAGGTTTGGACCCGGGCTACGAAGGAAAGTGCTTGTCAATATCATCCATTACCATCGTGACTCCTTTATTACTATCGTCCTTCCTCCTTGCCTTCTGATGCCGAACGACTTCGTATTGGCGATAACTGCGGCGATAGTCTTGGCAAGGATGCTAACTCCTTTGGATACTATGCTCTAAAGGTCCTTAACGGCAAGAACTGTGTGCTAAATACGCCAAGCCTACGTAGTATTAATATATGTCTGTATAATATCTTCATTAAATCTAATGAATTAATTGAATTTTTTTTTTTTGATAACTTTTTTGATAGTACATCCTAATAGTCAACTGATTGTTACAAATGTCTCTTCATGATTATTTTTATATCTAAATTCGTTACTTTTACAAAAAACATATCTCCCTAGATTTATTAAAAATCATCTAACTACATATACATATGTATAATTTTTCAAAAAATAAAAACGTATAATGAAATTATACATTACTTGTTAGAATTTGTTTTAGCTTTGATGATTTTTAAATAAATACGTTTCAAAGATCTTTCACGTAGATATATTTGTTCAAGATTAAAGACTATATAACAATACAGATAAGTACGTTACTTTAAAAAAACGATCGGACGCTATAACGAAATGACCTATAAATTTACGTGAATATAGCTAAAATTTCGTTTAAACGAGATCATCCTGTTTGTGAAAGAAGTCAAATGCCATGTTGTAATACGTGCGGCCACGTATGCAGATTTCAAAGATCATCCAGTGCCGTCAGTCGAAAGTGCCGAACCGGTCGGCATTGCTTTTTTCCCGGGATGCAATAACGAAGCGAGGACAATATAAGAGTAGACGAGCGACTTGTACAAAGTGAAGAGCATATTTATTGCTGGCCATACCTACCGTCGGTCCATCGGCTTGTGGTAGTGCCCTCAGGGACAACGTTGCCTGCTCCGAGCCAAATACATATATATATATATATACATAGGTATACATACGTATACATGAACGTATATATCAGTAGATATATACGTACATTTTCGGACATACACACACACAGACACACAAAACAACAGAGACGCACGCACACTGAGAAACCAGCCTATCTCGCGGAAATGCCATTTTCGAGGCCCGACGTTCCCGGAAAGCAATAATACCGAAAGCAGTTTTAATAAAGGCTCAGCCACGATATATCGTGGGTATGCCCTATACCTGACCGAACCCCTCTCCTATCCCTTCTTCTCTACCATTCTCCTCCTCCTTTACATCGTCCCGTTCATTCTATCGTCCATTCTTCCATCTAACGCTCGCTCCTTTTCTACTCAACGTTTCGTTCACTTTACTTTCTCTCTTTCTCTCATACTTTCTCTCTCTCTTTCTCTCTCTCTCTTTCTTTCTCTTTTTATTCTAACCGTCAACATCATAATGATACATATCCTTCTTGCGTTGCTTGTTGATTTCCAAATTTTTCAAACAGGTCTCTTCCTCTTCCTTCTTTCTTGCTCCTTACCACCTTTCCCTTCACGTTCTTATCGCTCCAAGCACGATGATCGATCGACTTTGCGCGTTTATTACAAGAAAAGAGAGAAAAAGAGAGAGAGAGAGAGAGAGAGAGAGTTCCTTGAGAATTTATTTGAAAGCATCCACTCGATCTCCCAATGCACGATCTAAGTTTGGGTTTGAAAGATCGAATGTGTATGGCGTTTAGTCGAAGTAATTCAATCACAAGATAGGTTGGATAGATATACTATCGATAAACGAAGCAAGATAACGCAAAAGGTAAATACTATTACGTTCGGAATATAGTCAAATACGACTACCATAGAAAATAGCTATCTCATACACATAACAGAGACAACGCGTTGCACCTTCGCTGTTGGCCCGTCACTTTCTCCGTGACTTCGATCGCGCTCCTTAATTTCCTGTTCGCGCGCGTATTTTGTACGAACGACTTGGTCGCTCTACGGCGCGTGCATCATCCACGTTGTTGAAGGTACGAACTAGCATCGACTCTATACAAGAGAGAGAGAGAGAGAGAGAGAGAACTTGCTCTCCTACGCCTTGAGCGTACCAACGTCGAATCTAAATTGGAATCTGCTCGCCGGCTTCGATGGTACAGCTCGCTCACTCCGATAGGGCTACAGCACATACGTATAAAGCGTACGACACCTACTATCGACATAGAAGAGAGAGAGACAGAGAGAGAGAGAGAGAGATGGAGAGAGAGAGGAAAGAGAGTCTCATGACTACACATCGAGCATAATATCGAAGCTCGATCGTTCTCGTACTCGTCGTCGTCGTCGTCCCCGACGAATCGTATCGTTATCGGTCGGTTAAGCCATCGAAATTCGTAGCCGGTGTTACTACCCTCCGTCAGTGTCGCTTCGCAGTGAATTTAGTAATTCTCGATCCTAACTCATGGAACTTTTACGAGGACGAGGAAGGACGAACGCATAAAACGCCTTGATATTTTCACGAAGCCTTTTCGTAGTACGAGAAGGGAATCGAAAAGGGAATTCGACTGATTTATTGAGGTACCGATCTGTGGCAAACGTGGCGACTTTTCGATACTCCTCGATCGATATAACATAGGTAGTATATACCTATCTACCTACGTTGACATTTTTCGCGAGGTTATAACCACGACGTGATCGCGAAAAAGGCTTTACTCCGTTGCATCTAAGCGAGAAAATGGAAACCTTCGAATATTGATCTATGTTCGGCGAATCGCTTTTCTCCGTAAAGAAATTCCAACGTGACGAGCCGAGTGTATACAAATAGGTTGGTACATATGGATGATATTATCAGGTGTAGGTGCTAAGTTTTTCCCTTTAGTCAGAGATCAAAGCTGTAGATTAAAAAAGTTTCGAGAAAAATTAAATGCAGGTGGTACGATGTTAAATACTATAAGTCAATGATACATATCCAAATGTACCCGATGCGATAACATTGCTATCGTATAAGTTTTATAAATATCACGAAAAAATACACGAAAAAATAGAACGATTTTAATTCGTTCCGCATATCGTGCCATGCACATGTATGCATTTTAAATATCAGTCATCAGTGCCGTACCGATAATAAAATGATCGAAACTACCGATAAGCTTGTCGTCTACCGATACCAATCCTATCGAGGATCATAACCAGAGAAATTCCGCCGGCGATAAAATGAATTACAAAATGGAGAAAAATGTAATATAAATGTAAGCGATGTGGAAGGAGTGAACCGGCAAAGCGTAAATAGGAAAATATATATATCGAACGACGAGCTGGATGCAACGTAGACAAAAAACTAATCTACCCGTTGGGATGGGTAGGCAGAAAAGAGAGAGAAAGAGAGGAAGAGAGAGATACAATCGCGCCGCTCACACAGCGGAAAAAGTATTGCCACTAGGAAGAGTTTCGCGGTATATCTATATGTAGAGAAAAACGCTGTAGAGAAATGGCAACGGCCCGGTTCCCGTCATTCCTGAATACCTACGCGTTTTATAAAATGCAAGCATATTTACGTATTTTTAGGCGCACCTGCGACACACCCGGGCCACTGTTATACGGGCGACAGCTTTATAATATACATTACCAAGAAAAAAGAGCTCACCGTCTTGAACGAGCATTTTCCTTTTTTTTCTTAAAAGAAAAAAAAGAAAAGGAAAATCATGGCGATTGTAAGACGGTAACGTGCCAAAATTAGCTAGATTCCTCGAGGTTTTAATGTTATTTTATCGGTAAGGAAAATGGCTGTTCTTTACGTCCTCTTCTCGATCCGTTATTTGACTCCTTTTTTCTCTCTCTCTCCCTCTCTCTCTCTCTCTCTCTCTCTCTATCTCTCTATCTATCTATCTATCTCTCTATCTATCTTTCTCTCTTTTCATTCTCCCATGCTTTTTCTTCCTCTCATTCTCTCGATTCCTTCGCGGTAGATCGACCAAATCTTTTTCAATCTCTTTTGAATCCTTTACCAGTAGAATGAGATTGGAGTCGAAAGAGCGAAAGGGAGAAAGAGAAAGAAAAAGGTAAAAGGGATAAGAAAAAGAAGGAAAGGATGAAGTAAATCTTGCAAAGGAGCGAGATGAGCGAGAAAGGTGCAGGATGGAAAAGTAGAAAACGAACGAGTAAAGGCAGCGAAGCTGGTTTGGTATCTACTACTGATGCTGCTGCTATTACTGCTGCTGCTGCTTACATTGTATTCGAGAAAGCCCTTGCTTTTCTTCTTCTTTCTTTCTCTTTCTTTCTTTTTTTTTTCTTTTTCCTTTTCTTCTCCTTCTCCGGATTATCGACAATCCGTTCTACATAAATCCTTAAACGCATGATAATGGACCTCGCTTAGTAGTTATCAAGTCGAAAGTCCAATTTCCGCCTCCTCCCCATCTCCCCCCCCCCCATTTTAATCGATCGTTCCTGTCGCGAACCGATCTGTCAGCATCGAAAAATTCTCGACAAAGGTATCGAAGGAGGTCACGCTACGAGGTCGATTCGTAGCAAGACGATTTACTCGCAATCGGAGGAGAGTGCGAGAAAGCGATAAGTGCCCTTCAGTGTTGAATCTACGAGGAAGCTTCGATTCGTCCTTCCTATATACATAAGCTGTCAGGAGACTACGATGTAGCGGAGGAGTTGGGGTTGGATTGGTTGGAAAAGG